TTCACTAAGTTGGACCTCCGCAATGCCTACCACTTGGTTCGGATAAGGGAAGGGGATGAGTTGAAGACAGATTTTAACACCCCTACTGGGCTTACTAATGCCCCAGCTGTCTTCCAGGCCCTGATTAACGATGTGCTTAGAGACATGATCAATCGATTTGTCTTTGTGTACCTTGATGACATCAAGATTTTTTCTTCGTCATTGCAGGTACACACTCAGCATGTCTGTCAGGTGCCGCAGAGGTTACTTGAGAACCAGCTGTATGTCAAGGCGGAGAAGTGCATATTCCACGCAGGCTCCGTTCCGTTCCTGGGACAGATAATCTCGGCAGAGGGGGTTAAGGTAGATCCTGCCAAGGTAAGGGCCGTCTCAGAGTGGCAAATCCCCGACTCTCGTAGAGCATTGCAGCGGTTTCTGGGATTCGCCAATTTTTATAGGCGTTTCATCCGGAACTATAGTCAAACTGCTGCTCCTTTAACCACTCTAACCTCAACTTGTGTTCCTTTCAGGTGAACGGAGCAGGCACAGGGGGCTTTTACGAAACTTAAATCATGTTTCACATCTGCACCTCTCTTGTCTGTTACAGACCCTGATCTGCAGTTTATTGTGGAGGTTGACGCTTCTGAGGTCGGGGTTGGGGCAGTTCTCTCTCAGCGATCCCCCCTTGATGGGAAGGTCCACCCATGTGCATACTTCTCACACCGCCTGAGCCTGGCAGAACAGAACTATGATGTCAGGAACCGTGAGCTGCTTGTTGATTAACGGATCGTGTGGTCATGCAGAATAAGCCATTAATAGGTGCTTTATAAGCAGTGTTGGGCAGTAACGCATTACTTTGTAACCCTTTACTGTAATTTGATTACTTTTTTAGTAACGGAGTAATTTAACGTGTTATAATTTTCAAAATAGAAATTCGAGTATAGTTACAAGCCGAGGTCTCTATACGTTACTGCCGCGTTACATTGCTGACAGAATGCAGTGTTTTATAATGCGTGCTCACGAATCCTCTCATTATAACACACGAATTGTAGACATTATGAAAGATTCATTATGCATATATATATATATTGTGTTATAACAGAGATTTGTGAGATTGCGATGAACTGAGATGTCTTTTAGAGATTATAAATGCAGCGCCCTTAGCTAGCATTCTGCCATGTCAAACCATGCACGCAGCAGCCGCTTGCTTTAGTTAAAAATAACAGTATTCTGTGAATGTTGATGCTTTAATAACAAATATTTATCGGGAGCGTGTATGCTGGGATTTCATCAATTTCATGGAGAAAAAAGTAACGTAACTAGTAATGTAACTAATTACTAATAACATTTTAAATAAAGTAATCAGAACAGTAACGTGATTACTTTTAAAAGGAGTAATCAGTAATCAGTAATGTTATTACATTTTCAGACTAACTTACCCAACACTGTTTATAGGTACTAATAAGCAACTAGTTAATAGTGAATAGTGTTCCCTAATGCAAAGTTTTACCAGAATTTAAATTCAATTTAAATTAGTTTTGTTCTGAGAGAGTTCTCAAAAAGTAGTAATGAAAATATGATTGATTGTCCTTAGTGAATATAATCGGTTATTAAAAAGTCTGATGCGATATAACTTCCACCTCTGAAATAATTGTTTTGCCTTCTTTGCTGACATGACAATTCCCTTTTATTTTGTGAACCCCTTTCCTCCAACTACCTGTTTTGTAAGATGTACTTTTCATCCAATCAATTCCAGCATTTTTTTCTTATTATACTAAATATCCTGTTTTACTCATATGTTGTATTTGGTGCTTCACCTTGATTTTATGCGAAATTATATAGAGACATTGTTAAGTCTGTTTAGCAAAAACAAAGTGAAAGGCAAACAAATCTCATTATTGCTTTGCAAACAAAGATAATGACAGCAAGTCTGTCTGTTGAAGCCAAGGGTCAGTTCTTATCACAGCTGCTAAAGCGACAAAGCGGTTAAAGTTTATATGTACCATCTGTGTGCACCTAAACAACACTAATGACGATGGGTGTGTCATATGCGACAGTAAAATAAAAGGTTTGGTCCCACTTTATATTAGGTGGCCTTAACTACTATGTCCTTACATTTAAATTAATCATTTGATGCAATGCACTTATTTTGTACATACATGTTTTTACATTGTACTTATATTTTTAAAAATACCTACTGTATATGTAATTACATCTGTAATTAATTTCTGTAAATACATTTATAATTACACTGTTGACCCATCCCTTACACCTTGTGTCTACAGTGAAGAAAGTCTGTTAAACTTTATTTAAAATAATAAATAAAACATATACATTTCAGGATCTACTTCAGTAGCTCTTGCTATGCTGTGTAGTGACATTTGAATATACTGAGTTAACAGACATTCAAAAAATGTCAGTAGCAGAAAAATACCCAGATGAAGGTACTTAGTGAGGTGTGGTGAGAAAAATCTTAATTGCAGCTTGTTTTTCATGTAATAATAGTTAACACCCTCTGGGAAGAAGTGGGAGGGACAGTGCTTCCAGTTCATTGCTTCTTTATATGGCTCGTCATCAGTACATGAATACTTCCAGGTGTCGTCATATTTGACAAGAAAGTCAGCATGAATAAATGGTTAAGTGATTTGCTTACAAAGAGCAAAGACAGTATTTAGTTGAGATTGATCATGTGGAAAATATTTGAGAATTTTCCTATGGCGATCATGTATATGTTTAAGTTTCTCAAAGAACGACTCTTTCATTTCAACAACTTTCATTTCCTTTATCACCCTGAACAAAGAAAGAGAAGTTCTGAGAGAGAAGAGTTCCGTAAAAATAACAAGAGTGACAGCATGACAGGTTTTCAGATTGCTCTTTGTTTTTGTTTCTGGTTATGCATTCTGTCAGTCAAATTTTTACACTGACATCAGCCCCAGCCATCAGCTAGAAGAATATAATGCAGATAAATGAGGAAATCTGGTCACACCCAGGAATCAGATATATATGTATCTAATAACAAAAATTGCATTTGTTGCCCTTGACACCTGCAATTCGAAGCTCTTGAATCAACATAGTCACAGATATGCAGTTGCTGTCCCCTGGGAAGGTCCTTCTCAAGTGCTCGAAAATCACAATTGCATGATGTGTGTTCAAATGATTTTGGCCAGTATAAAATGTTTCTCTCAGGACGACAGAAAGCCTTTTTAGCACGGTTGTGGCAAATTTAGGTGTGTAACTAATGTTTATATATTTATTTTCATTCTCATGCTGCCACAGGGAACAGGGATGCTTGTCAAACAGGAGTAGCTTCATACTGTATCTCTCTTTCTCTTGGCTAACGCACACATACTTGGTTGATGTTGGAGCTTAAGGTAAACTGTGTCTCTTTTCCTCACAGTCACAAGTACATTTGATCATGATGCAAAAGCCATGATGAAATATGCTTGTGTGGGTAGATATGTTTATCTTATGATACCGTTCCTGCTGTTACGTTTGCAGTTGCTTCTTCTTCATCCGTTGATCCTTTGATTTGTTGTTTTTAGTGTGGTTTTTTGGTTAATGCTCTTCCATAGTAAAAATATTCTCTATGACTCTGTTTGAAATATTTTACAAAATGTAAGAAATGTTAATAAAACTGTCCTTCAATCGCTGCAAGGAATGCGTGTTCATTTAATTTAATGCAAGAGATCATTTAGAACTGAAACTGAACTGCACCATGTTTAGAAAATAGTTTACAAAAAAAAAATTAAATCAGGTGAATTAGTAGCATTTTCTGGTAAGTGTTACTACTATTCTTTATTACTGTATAAAAACAAAAATAAATAAAATAAAAATTCCAATCTACTTAAAATGAACTGATAATCATCATAGTAATACAGGTTGTTCAAAAGAAAGCCACATGATGAACATGGCCAATACTCACAAAGTCACAACACCATCTTGGTAACACGCATGACACTGTAGCATTGGTTTGTGTGTGCTCATCTCTTAAAGGTGCTGTAAGTTTTTGACTGTACTAAAGCATAAAAATACCATAATATGTTTGCAGATATTTAAGAAACATGCTAAGTTAACATACATGTTTATCTGAAAAACAATGTTACAGTCAGTTATTCTCCTTTGAAAATGTGCGTTCCGGGCCGGAATGTCGGTCTCTGTTTTGGTTTGTGAAACCCGCCCACTGCCAGTTTACCCAATTGTATTTCGGGACCCTGGGTTGCCAGTTGACGGAAAACACAGCGTGTTTAATTTCATTCATCGTCAAGTGCACTCGTTTCTGTTGGTGTCGTCAATCTGGCAACCTGCGTGTGCCTCAAGTCTGAGGAGGAGGGGCCGGGTGAAAAAAACCCTCTCCAATATTTTTAATTTGGACTGCAATACCTAGTTCAACCACTCGGTGTCAATCCTACATACAGCATCTTTAAATGAGGATTAAATTGGGCCAGAATGATCTGGAACAGCATTTTAAGTTTGTTTGTCAGTTAATTAAATTTCCTGTATGTTCCAGTACTGAGAGTATGACACATTCTGTCTCCTTTAGCGAGCGCACTCAATCGAGAAAACCTTTTCATGCACAGGTTTATACATTAAGCAATACGCTTCTCTCTTGTCAATGGTAGAGGCAACACATTTGTCGAGAGCAGCTCTTGAGCAGAACGGGAAGCCTCATCTCTCTCAGACACGCACTGCACTTCGCTCCGCTGCCTGCTCTGCGTTTCATTGAAATCACACAATGAAACGCAACCAAATGGGCACTTTCTGATATGCATCTACTGATATGTAGTAGCACTGTTGGTTTATAAAAAGGTGTATGCAATGCAAAGCGAGAATCATATCACTGGACCAAAGCATAACATAAAGGTATTTTGGAATATTTATCCATCTCTATATTTTATGCATTTCATTTTATTTATTCTTTCCCATGTTTGTTTTCTAACAAACATAAGTAAAAAGGGTCTTAATATAGTAAATTATGCTGTTTGGGGATGGAGGTCATTATACAGTAGAATATGGACACTTACCCTGAGTTTTTGGATTTGGATGTCTTGATTTTCTACCATATTGAGAAAGCTTTTGAAGTGATTATGGTCAAGGAGAATGTAGACAGGAACACCTCTGACTGAGGCATCCACCACTTCTTTAAAGATGTCCACATCGGTGAAAATATCCATTGCGATTGCTATGACCTGTATAGACATACAAATGAAAACATAATAGAAACGTCAGCCTCAGAGGATTTTGGGGCATTCACTGTCAGAACAGGCCATCTCTGATATTCTCTTAAATCAATGACATCCCTGTCAGTTACACAAAGCTGAACAAAGCAGAGGTGTCAGCCCAGAAGCTGCTTCAGTTTTTTAAAACGACACCCTTCGTTTTTCTGCATATTCAGAAAAACCACATTCAATAACTTAAACGATGGCTTTCATGAAACCGACGGGATGATATGTATTTTCTGGGGCCTTTTGCCTAATATTAAACAGAAAGAAGTTGGGGAGAAGACTGTACGGTTTGTATTATTTAAAGGTTTAGTCCTAGCATTTGTCTTTCAGGAAGACCGGCATTCCATGATTCAAGCCTTGACAGGTTTAAGATGTTCCATTAATGCCAAATGACAACGAGTCTTAGCGTAAGTAGTATCTCACCACACCCTGTACAACATCTACTGATTAACAAATGATTAATATAGAATTTCTACATTAGAATTGTTGTTGTACTTTCTGAATTCTTATTTTGTTTTTTAGACTTGCATTTGCATTTGTAATTTGTTATTTTGTTTTCAGAATTGTGATTTGTTTTGCACTTCTCAGCCACCGTAGTTGTGAGAGATTTTTACCATGACTAAGGTTGTTAGGTACCACTCAAAGATGCATAACATGGGTAAAACAGCAATATGACAAAAGATCAATTTTGCTTGTTAAGCTCATCACTTCCGTACACGCTGACATTTTTAAACCAAGGATATCTTGTTTACTTAGACATAATAATAGTCCATGTGTTTTCTTACATGCTGTACTTTTCACATAGAGAGTCCTCATGCATTCTTATTCAAAGTGTCTCCTCTCATCCTCCACCTTAAGGAGCCGTTGAGCCTTTCTAATTTACTTGTTCTTGTGTCATTACTGAAAAGGCTTCATTACTGCCAGGCAGAATCAAAGCTAATAATATACTTTTACTGCTTTTAAAATTCCTTTGTTCTAAAAAACATGCGTACAAGTAAAGTGTACGCAACACTTCACTTGGAAATACAAGTAAACTCTTATAATGGCAATTATGATTTTAAAAGCTTGTAAGAAAAAAGACTTTTCTCACACCTGCTTCCACTCTTTTATACAAAAACCCATCAACACCTTTGCTAAAAAACGTAGTAAAACTCCTGGGAACTTCACACAACACACTGCTGATGTGCGGTTGATATATTATATTGTATAATGTTCTCTTGTCAACTTAAATGAAACCGCTTTCAGTTTAATTGAACCTCGACAGAGGCTAGTATATCAGTCTATATCATTTGGCACCCCCCCCCCCAAACACACCTGATAAGATACTGTATACATCGCTCAAGTGTTTCATGCTGTGAGTCGACTCTAGGGAGCACACGTAATCAGAGCGCCAGAGCCACACGAGGTGCAGTTCATTCAGCACACTGAAATTGGTTTGGTAAATCCATGCCCTCGTGAGATGCTGTCCTAGGTGGTAGCCTATGTTGCCTAATGGGTCTGACTCTGCTCTGCTCTGCAAAAAACAAACGAACAAACAAACTGAAATGTGATCCATGATCTATTAAGATTTTTGAGAACACGTAAAATTGTTGACACGCAAAATGTCATGCTTCTATACTTTTAATAATTTAATTATTATTTACTAATTATTTACTAATAATTATTATTATTACTATGGAAATTATTTCTTTAATGAAATGATACTCTAAATAATAAACTAAAACTGCCAGTAGGTGGTGGTAAATGTCTTAATGATTAAGTCATCGAGTCATTTATTCATTCATTTGATTCGTTTAAACGGCTGATTCGTTCAGGAGTGAAGTAAATGGTTCTCTTTATGAATGGTCCATTGAATCATTAGGCTTGTTCGACTTGAAGCGGATCATCACCATCAGATCGATCGGTGTGTGACATCAAAGTACTGCGAGAGCGACTAGAGATCAGACGACTCTGCATGCTTTTGAATCGCTCTCGCGGTACTTTGATGTCACACACCGATCGGTCTGTGGAGCGCCGCTTCAAATCCAACGCGCCTAATGCTTCACCCAATTCGTTCAAAATGTGGATTAAGACATGAATGCAGCTGTGTGTTGCTCGGAGACAGGGCCGGATTTAGTGATTTGGGGGCCCCAGGCAAAATACAGGAATGGGGCCCTATACAATTTCACACATTTACAACCTTGAGGTTTCTTTCACTGTTGCTTGCTGCTGCACGACCGTGTCCCATAGTTGTACATTCAAAATGCTACACAACAGAAGTTTACTGTGTAACGAGCAATGTCACGGAATTCGTCAAATATTGAATGAACCGTGAGCGTTGCGCGTGCTTAAATAGCAAACTAGCAAACGATACGCGTGTCTGTGTCATTCATTCCGTCACATTCCGCGTTACACAGTAAATCCCATTTTTATGAATAGATTCCGGGATTCCGTCCCCATTTTCTACATCGCCCTACTTTTGCTAAGAAGCCCGTTCAACGTGGACGCACAGACGGTTGTCGTGGTAATGAACACCACAGCAACCACTTGTGCGTCCGCACTGAACGCGCATCTCGCATATAAAAAGCATTTTAGGGGGCCCTTGGCTTTTGGGGGCCCAAGGCGGTCGCCTACCTTTGCCTAATGTGTCTAAAATAACACAATATTAACTTCTTATTTATTGAACTGTTGTGTAAGATCAGTATCACATTTGCACTCATGTGATTTGTACTTATTGCCCGTGTGATATTGCTTGACTATATGATGTAAATATGAGACAAAAACTCAAACGGGCATTTTTTGCCCCATATCTTTGATTTTAGGGACATTCTAATACGTTCTCTAGGCTCCACCACGCAGTGAGTTGTTGCCCTACATCATATATCAATCAACTGTATGAAATGTCAGATGACCCACACAGGTCGGGGGCAGGGCAAGTGCGTTAAATGCATTAATAATTTTAAAGCGTTATTTTTCACCGTAATGAATTAATCTAATTAACGCGTTAAATTACCAGACCTAATCAGAACTGTTCTACTTTATAACTCGCAATTGCAAGTTTATATCTCACAATTCTGAGAAATTAAGCTGCGAGAAAAAAGTCAGAATTGCATGATATAAACTCACAATTGCGAGAAAAAAAAGTCAGAATTGTGAGATAAAAACTTGCAATTTTTGTTTTTTATTAAATAAGGAAACAGGCTTCCATAGTTTGACTATCTGGGACAAGATTTGGTGTTTTTGTGGTAGAATTTATTTATTTATTATTTCATTTCTTTTTTTTACAAGACCAAAATGTTAAGATCACAATGTTTGGCCAACATTGAATTAATGGGAGCTTATGTTGACAATATTGTTCTCAATCACAAGCATCTATCTGTGTACAATGTTCAGTAGAAGCTCTTAGACATGCTGCCACATTAATTATATGAGCCAGGGCTTTAATCATCGCTCATGATCAAAATACAAAGAAGATTGCATTGCTCAGAAAGGAGGCAATGCATTGTCACTTATTACTAATAAAGAGTGCTCCACACCCCCGATAGCAAGGACGTCTTTGCATGATTTTTTTTTTTTTTTAATGCAGTAAAGCTTGCTTCTCATAGGTACACCTAGATGTTTCTAACACTCCTGTCTCATCAACTGTAAAGGGAGTGATCATTTCAGCATTGCATATTGCACAACTAGTTCCATTGTTTGTTCAGCACAGTTTAGCTGCCACTGTTGCTGGGGAGAGACTGCTGTAATTTGTACATGACTGATGCCTGAGGGAGAAAGTGATGTACCTGTCCATCTTTAGCAAGAGTTCAAGATGTCGCAACTGTGGGGCTGCTCTCAAAAGCCATGATTTAAAGGAAATCAATCTATAGCCTCCTCTGTGATTATGAGGGGATTGCGGGGTGAACAGGCAGGGCAGTGAAAATGGTTGGCACTTTCCCTATACTCGTGTGACAATGCAACGGTTTATTGCTGTGACAGACAACAATGCTGCTCTCATCAGTGCCTTGTGACAAATGACTTATACAAGATTACGGACAACACCTCATTAAAAATGGAAAAGAAAAAAAAATCAAACATTCACTACAGTATTTCTAATGCCAAATTCAAAAAGATAGAAACAAGAAATTTTATTTTGCTTGCATATTCATGGCAATTAAGCACATTCAAACCCCAATCCTTATTACCATAATGGGGGGAAAAAATCAATCAGTGTCTCCTTTTTTTTTTTTATGCCCTGTTCTGCATGGACGCACTACCATAGTAATTGAGGTACTAAGTCCATATAGTTTATTAATATTATTCAGTACTTTATTTGGTAACTGTATAACTGTAATGGTTTGTCAGTTATGTGTGTCATTTAGTTTCGTCTTCATGGACTTTTAGGATGTTTTCATTAGTTCCTGTTTGCCTTTGTTCAGTCTTTAGTTGTCATGTGAGGAGTTATTTCAGTTCAGTTGTGTATCATTAAGTATCCTTGTTTGTATTAGTACTTAAGGTCCTGTGTTTTCAGTGCTGAGTGTCTGGTCTCGTCTGTGCAAGTAATGATTTCTCTGATTCGTTCAGTTCATTTACCGTGGGGATTATTATTAAAGACTGTGATCATACCTTATCTTCCTCATCATGTGTCTTCCTGCAACATTGCATGGCAATAACATTATATTCATGTATTTTTACAGTACACACTGTGCTGTAAAGTGCATCCAACAAATCTAATTTGCATTATCCTAAAATCAGCCTGAAACGGATATACACTCTATCGCTGTCTCTATCTAAATTCATGTTATTGATTTTTTTTGTGAACGATTCACGATTCCATGCATGTGTTTCTTTCTCTTTTTTTCTTCTTTCCATGCATATGCATCCATCCAATCAACAACAGATGGATAGAACCAAGTCCCTGCCCTACATTTGTTCTTTTAAAAAAAAAAATGTTTCATGTGGCCATATGTCACAATACGAAAGAAAAGATGAGAAAAATAGATGTATGATATATCATTTAACTTAGAAAATGTTTAACCACCATGACAGAATTTCGTGTACTGCCTCTCATAAATACATATCATTTTTTAAATGATCATCCCATTAAGAATAAAAGGAATTAAAAATAATAATAATAATAATAATATCATTGATGTTTATTTCACCCCACAGTGAACTAGAGATACTTTACCATTATTACTTTAATTTGGAGTGAAATCTAAGCTGGCCATATTATCTTTCATTATCTCTTATTCTCTCACTAACAATTACATAGCAGTGCTGGGCGCAAAGACAACATTTAATTTAGAGTTAATTAGTTGAATGTAAGGCTTTAATTCCACAGTGTCAGGCATGTCGAACCTTAGCTAAATGTATCCAACTGAAGATAAACAAAATGATGTAACTGAAAATGTATTTTATTTCAGCCACAGAGTGTACTCTGAGAGCTTCTATGATGTTTTATGTAGTTGTGCTAACATAATTTATTTAGAAAGACATGTCTTTGGGCGAAATGTTCACTTTACTCTAAAGGTAGAAGCTGTCTGCAAGGCTGAACGTGTGTATGATAGGTGATTCCAGTGAAGATCAAAGACAAACTTTGTATCTCTAGATTTTAAAGATCTTCGCTCATGTAGCCTTGATCTGTTACTATTAGACTCTAATGAAAAACAGCAAGCTACAACAACAACTGAAGATGCCTAGAAAATACCTTTTTACCATAGAGGCCACACTGGCTTTATTTGAGGAAAATAATTTATTCATATTGCGTGAAACATGTCCTGTAACTCACAATTGTTAAGACCAGCCTGGTGGATGAAAAATTAAAGATTTAGCTTTTTTTGTTTATTGGCACATTTTGTTAGCTATCAAACATTACACACATTAATTTGAAACATGCAAAATCTGACTGTGCACTCTATTAGCCTTTCAGACTTTCAAAGATTTGCTCATTTATGTATCGTATGCTCAACAGGGTGACAGTGAAACTCATTTTCCCAAGAGTGACCTTATCAACATGCTGCACCATCTTTGATTGTGGAAATTGTTGTAGAACAGTCTCCCTAGAGCAACCTGAGATTAAGAGCTTTGTTCAAGAGCACAATGATACAAGTTCATGGATCACCCCTTGTGGGTTTTGAACCCACAACCTTTCAGTTACCAGACAGATCTGTTACCACTAGGCTACAACACCATTCAAAAGCTCAGTTCTGATTCTAGGACATTCTTGAGCTATGTGTGTAGCTCTATGTGTGCAGCTATGTGTTTCTTAACTCTCAGCATAGTTCAAAAGCACATGATCTACAGAAGGACTGGCGTTTATTTACACCCTTTTTTTCAGCATGCTGTTTTATCAACATTACCTGCCTGGCATCCTGTATTTGTTTGCGGATCACTTCCTTGATAGTGGGGCTGTTTTGCTTCGGCGGGTGGAAGAGCAGGTCTATGCTGGTCTCGAGCCTTCTGTGCGGGACGTCTGGCCAGCCTAAATCCAGGTTTGGCGGGTCAGTGTCCGAGTGAGTGGGCCAGTATGTGCCCGTGGAGGACGTGTCATCCTGCGGACTGTCCACTTCCTCTGAGTGGTTGCTGGTGGGGGGCTGCACAGCGCTCTCTGTAATCTGGCCGATTTCTCCCTCAGAGAGGAAACCGCATATGCCCTCCTCTTTGATGAAATTTCGATAAGAAGCTTCTCCCTCTTTGACAAGGCAGTCAATGGCTAACCGATACGCTTCCTTGTAATGCGGCTGTATGTAATTTTCGGCCTTGAACTCTCCCTTTGAGGAGGACAGCAGTGAAAATTCGGATTCCATCACGGTGTTCGTTTGGATTCCTCAAAACACTGTACAGCCTTTGCCACCTAAAAAACAAAACACATGATGTTTAACTAGGACAATTCTGCACATCAACAATATTCTGTAGCAAAGCACCTAGATACATGCATGATAGCATCTTGCATAGCATGAAATGCTGGTTAGGAGCTTCTTCTTGGCTATCAAGACCTGGTTTGGCAAGCTTTGCACATTTGAGCTTTTTGGTTTCAGCCACTTATGTAAAATGTTTCCAATACGACCCTCAATGAACAGCCATCACTGGCTTGTAGACAAGTTTTATTCTAAAAAACCACTCAGAAAAAGCAATAACTACAAGCATTGAGCTTGAGGTCCTGCCGTTTGTCTTAACTCTGTGGCTATGATTACAGGAACTGCTTGTTTGAACATGTTACTTCTCCACACTCATTTGGTTTGGAATGATGGATCCCATGCATCAGTGCCATCACTCTAGAGCAGTGGTCGCCAACCCGTCGATCGCGATCACTGTCCCAGTAGATCCCGAAAATAACAGTAAAATAAGTACAAAAATGCATTACATTTCTGGGGTTATATCAATGTATCACTAAAGGGAACTAACTGTCTTGAGAAAAGTTTCGATGGCAATGGCATTATCTTCTCCTCCGTATAAAGCACAGTTTGCTTTGTTTACAGCGGTAACCAAGGAAACGCTATATTGCGGTCGGTTCATAAGCAGTGTTGCCAAGTCCGCGGTTTTCCCGCAGAATTGGGCTACTTTAACACTGTTGTGTTGTTGTTCATGTCCGCAGGTTGAAGCGACCCCAAAACGCGATATTTAGCCCCTGGAATGTGAATTTTACTGGAAGATCCCCGCCGAAAAACTTGTATTTTACCCAAGCGGCAACCTCCCCCTCTCTCTCGTGAAGCCAACATGGAAGTGACTTAAACTGTAATTCATCAACTGGCCGCTAGAGGCTGGCTGCAAAAGGGAGTCAATCCCATAGACTCCCCATGTTAAAATGCCCAACTTTACATCAGAAAAAAACGTTTACAGCCTGGTTCAAAAAATGATTTTGGTCTATATAGCTAATTTTGCTCTTGATGACAACTGTGAGGGGGGTGAATTTTTTTATAACTCATCCGTTTAAATTATATTAAGCCTTAAAGTCCTGCATAATTAAGGGCGTGGCCACTTGAGTGACAGATGGATTGCCACCACCGTCGAGCTAGGTGGGCGTGGCTTCAGCAACCTGCTCCCGCCTCTTTGCCCATTTTCGATTATCCGGGAGTGACGCGCTGCAAAGATGGCGACGGCCGGCTCCGCCCACTTTTGAGCTTCAAAAACGCTCTTCGGAAA